GACTTTATGCAGACATTATCCAAGGTTCAAATCAACATTCCATTACTGGATGCAATCAAGAAAATTCCATCATATGCCAAATTTTTGAAGGAAGTTTGCAGCAGCAAAAAGAAGTTTTCAGATTTGGACAAAGTCGTTTTGACAGAACAGTGCAGCGCAGTTTTGCTACACAAATTGCCACCTAAGAAAAAAGATCCAGAGAGTTTTAATATTTCTTGCACTATTAGAAATTCTAATTTTAAAAGCGCTTTAATTGATTTGGGTGCAAGTATTAATTTGATGCCTTTTTCTGTTTTCCAGCGATTGGGGCAAGGAGATTTAAAGCCTACATCAATGATACTTCAACTAGCTGATCGTTCAATTACTTATCCAAGAGGTGTTATTGAAGATCTAATTATAAAGGTTGGTAATCTTTATCTACTAGCAGATTTTGTGGTTCTAGACATGGACGAAGACCTTCAAACACCTATTATTTTGGGGAGACCGTTTATGGCAACATCTAGGACTTTAATCGATGTGGAAGCTGGAACATTGACTCTAAGGGTTCAGGACCAATCTGTGGTGTTTAATTTGTTTGAGGCAGCAAAACGTCCTACTGAACAGCAAGAATGCATGCGCATTGATGTGGTAGACAGTATGGTTCAAGACAATTTATATGCCAATTCAAATACAAGTCAATCTAATAAACCGTTTGTTGGGAAAAAGCGAAAATTGCAGTTCAATAAGCTAGAGGAAATTCGTCAAGATGCTTATAATAGTTCTCGCATCTACAAGGAAAGAGCGAAGGCGTTTCATGACAATCAGATTTTACGGAAGGAATTTCAGCCAGGACAAAAGGTTCTGACATTCAATTCAAGGCTCAAGTTATTTCCAAAGAAATTAAAATCTCGTTGGACTGAACCCTACCTGGTGACTCAAGTTTTTCCTCATGGAGCAATTCAAATCACTAATGAAGCTCAAGGCAACACATTCAAGGTCAACGGTCACAGGCTGAAACCCTACGTGGAGACACCTTTTGACACTGCAACCGAGTCGGTGACTCTGAAGGAACCGGTGATTTGACCACCAGGCTTCTGCAAAGTCTAGCTACAGACTTAAAATAAAGCGCTTATTGGGAGGCAACCCAATTTTTCTATGCTCTTTACTCATTTTAATTAAAAAAAATTAAAAAAAAAAATATTTGTTGTTGTTTTCTTTAACTAGATGTTTTTATTTTCTTTCTACTCATAACACATCATTGATTCAATGCAGGATACAATAATCAGCAGCAAACATCAAAAGCAAAAAAATCATAGGCTGGAATCCTGCACCCAGCAGCAAGTCTACACAGGGAACGACACAACAATCAGCAGCAAACATCAAAAGCAAAAAAAAATCCTAGGCTGGAATCCTGCACCCAGCAGCAAGTCTACACTAGAATCATGTACCCAGCAACAAATCTACCAAATTTCCAACAACAACATTTGCAGGGATTCGACATTATACCTATGAGATGCACAGATTGGGGGTCCTCAGGGCTTTGTGCTGTTTTGCCCTTTAAGCTTGTGTGCTGACTGCCTTCTCTTGGATCTGCAACCTTCCTACACTGTGCACATGTCAAAATTATACACACACATCTATACATCAACCACAGCTCCCAGATCAGGACCCAAAACAAATTCTGGAATTACTCTTACCTTTGGATGGATATCGGAAGGCATTGGTGCTGCGAGAGCGGGGAAGGATCAATGGGCAGCTACTAAACGTGCCAAGAATTGCATTTTCCAACTCTCGCTCAAGCGCATCACAGTATAAGGTCAATTTCATTGCGAAAATTGGGGGTAAGGCACCTGTGCACATATTTGGTTCTTTGACCCAACTCAAATATACAAACCCACATCCCCCTTTTCCAAGCATCTGGCCTTGAACCCATTCGCGCCCAGCAACCGACAAAGGTGGCGATTGAGAGATGTTGTCGCATGCTGAACCTCAGAAGTAATTGGAAAAGGGGGAAGGCAAATTTTCAAGATCGATTTTTCACAAGGAGGCAATGTGGAGTGGGAGTGGAGTTTTATTGTGGAGAGAAAAATTTTGTTTGGCAGGTAGCATATGAGATGCTGGTTTGGGTTTTGCCAGAAGAAGAAACGGACTTTGGGTTTGTGAGAAATGACGAAGCAAGAGAAGAGATGGAGTGGACAGCTCAGTTTGTGAAAAGGAACTGACACCGCAGCTACCACCCCGTTATATTGTATATGTTGCTCAATGTGACACAAGTGTGGACTTGTGTGAGTTGGTCAGCTCGTCGTTGCAAGATCCCCGCTCCTGGTCCTGCCTTCGAACCCCTGGGGTGTCAAATTTCTGGGTATTTTCTTTCCTATTTATTTTCTTTTATTGTTTTTCTCATTTTCTGCCTTACTTTATTTTATTTTATTTTTTTGTTATTCTCTTTTGCTTTCCTAGTTTCTTTTCCTAGAGTGTTTTCTTTATTTTTTATTTCCATTTTCTAGGATTTAGTTGTTTGGTCTACTCTTGTTTCTTTTGCTTATTTTCCACATCTTGAGGACAATGTGTGATTTAAGTTTGGGGGTAGGAAAGTAAATTTTAGATTTTTATTTTTTTTGAGTCTTGTTTAAAATTTTCAAGTCCTTCTAAGTTCTCAATTATCTCCAACAATAACCCTTTTTTTTTTTCCAGGTAAAATTGTACATTTCTAAAATGGGTCTTGACCATTTTCAGCATAAACAAAATGTTCTCCAAATTCAAATTCTAGATATTTTTTTTCTTTCCATCCCACACCGTTTTCCAGGAAAATCATGAATTCCATTTTTCCTGACCTGGGTCTTCGCCATCTCTACCATGCTCGAATGTTTCTTGGCCTAAACTGAGTCCTCTCAAATTTGTTTAATTTCTCATCTTCCCAAAAGAAATTCTTGTTTTGAAAATATGCAGGAACAAGAGTTAGGGCAACAGCAGTGTCCCAAGTCACCAAGAAACATTCTATTTGACAAGTATGAGATGGGAAGGCTTCTAGGACTAGGCACCTTTGCCAAAGTCTACCATGGAAGAAACCTCATCACAAATGAAAGTGTAGCCATCAAAGTGATGAACAAAGACCACATCAAAAACGAAGGCCTCATGGAGCAAATACAGCGCGAAATTTGTATCATGCACTTAGTTCGCCACCCCCACATTGTTGAATTAAAAGAAGTTATGGCCACGAAAACCAAGATCTTCTTCCTTATGGAGCACGTAACGGGCGGTGAATTGTTCAACAAGGTATTCGAAGGGAAACTCAAGGAAGACGTGGCTAGAAAGTACTTTCGGATTGTCAGCGTTACCAGAGCATCATTGGAGCGACGGTATGTGATGAGTCGATTTTATATTATATATTTAACCCTATTCTTAGTATATTTTGGTTAATATTTTGGAAGAATTTTGATACTTTGAATTATATTTCCAATATAGGACTTTCGACTCTCTCTGGAGCAAAACATAATCAAATGGACGAATTTTGGAGTAATTCCAGTTGGAGGACGTACGTGAGTCACTTAGCTTGATCGTATCAAAATATCAGACTTTTACACTAAGCGATGATTTCCTGGTGAATAAATGAAGGAGCAATGTGCAGTGCTGGAATAGTGACGTTTTGGGCTTATATTGCGTTTTTGGAGCCCAAGATGACCTCGGATGGGTTCGTGGCCTTCTGGAGAAGTGTTCGAAATATTTTTATCTTTAAAACGAGCTATCTTGGGCCAGATTTGGAGGAGATTTGAGGCCAAAACGTGGCTGGGCAGATTTGGGCAGATTCTCCTAATCCAATTTAGACTTTATTTCCTAGTCTTATTTTATTTTAACTTAGTTTCCTTGTGGGGATTGGGTAGCTAGGTTTTAGGAGGTATTTAAGCTCCTTTTCACAGCAATTTAGAGGAGGCCCTTTTGACTTCTTTTTGGCTTTTGGAGCAATTGCTAGGGTTTTGGATTTTCGATACTTTCAGGTGTTTTCATTCTTAATCATTCGAATGATATTTTCTTGGATTTCAATGATGATTATGTGTAACTAATTCCTTTTGCTAGGGCAAGGCCGTAAGCCTTAGCATGAATATGTAGTTTTATTAATTTGCTTATGAATGTAAGCCTTATCCAAGCTCGGCATAGAGCAACATCTTCATCGATGGAGTAATTTCCACATTTTTACTTCGAACTTTCGGTCATTGGTAGAAAAGAGATTAAGAAAAAATTACAAAAAATTAAATAATCTAGTCAGTGAAAAAATTTGACAAATTGAGCAAGAGTGATAAAGATGTTGTGGTGTGTAAAAATTATGAGAGATATGATGGATATTTATAGAGAGAATTGAGTTGCAAATCTATTTATTTATTTAAATAAATAAATAAAAAGACACAATATAGCCGTTTATAGTCGTTGGACATAATTTTGCCCATTTATATCCTTTGGAATAAAGCTGTTGACACAGCTTTAAAAATTTGGTTAATGGATGTGGGTCAGCATGCTGTTGACAAACCAAATAAATGGCAAGTAAGCCTTGTACAATCGCAGGTAAGTGAGAAAGACCAAAAAAGTGGGTTGCAACTTTTTTAATTCGTGGGTCCCACTCGGTTTCAAGGGCTTCAACCAAACTCATATATTTAGCTACTACTCCGGTTGCGCTTCAAGTTTTAGACCCCCAAATTTGCACCATTGGGGATGCCTTTTTAAGGAGAGTTTGTATTTATGGGAGCCTTGTGGTGGTTGAGCCCCAAATAGAGCCCCCATTGGGGATGGCCTAAGGGTCCTGCTATTTCATATCCCTCTTGGCAATTCAATGTGAGCTAAAATGTTATTTTCCCATTGAGTTTGTTTGATATATTTTGACAATTTGCATATGAGTTGACATGTTATTATTTTCAGTTGAGTTTATTTGATATGATACAATGTTTTTCTTGTTTAATACAAGTCATCATTAATTGGAATTATAAAATGGTAGGAAAGAACAATGATATGCATAATAAGGGCAAAGAGCCAAAAACAACAAAAGACCAATCAAAGACGGTGATTGGTTGCAAGACCAATTATTTTAACTATTTGTAAGTGTTAAACAACTTTTCTAGTATATTAAGTACTTTTTATAGGACTAACTAAATGTGAATGTTTTAAATAGAAAAATAAATGGCGATAAAATGAAGCAATAAAAAATAGTGGAGAAGATGGATACTAATGTGATAAATTGGCAAGAATACATTTAAATAGAGACGTTACAACTCACAACTTATAATAAATTGATTGAATTTTATTTTTTTCTTCCACATACTAAGAAAGAAATCGATTATATGTGGCAATAGTTGGATTTTACTCATAAAGCAAAGTATGAACCTAAAAAACATTCAACGATCGCCTCGAACAAGAGTTGTTTGAAGATAGTCACACGATGCAGTCGAAAAGATCTAAATGACACTATAAATGTTTTAAGTGATGAGAAAAAAGCAGTCATTCAAGAAATGAGATTTGTTTCATTGCTGGAAATGAAGTGCGGAAAACAATCTTATTCAATGTGTCAATTTTCGATTGATAAACTCAATCCTTCTGAATCATCAATCGTGGTACATGGAAAAACACTTAAGATATTTATGGATAATTTCGTGCACATAATGGGTGTTAAGGATGGAGGAGAGGAAGTTAATTTCACCAGATCCATAGAGAGCAACACATTGTAAAGATGCGAAATTCTTTTTTGGTTGGGAAGAAGCTTTTAAATAATAATGAGTTGAAGCAGATGATGGTGGGGACAGAATAAGTAGGTAACTTTTTCAAAGTTGGTTTTGCCATGTTTACTCTATGCACGTTGCTATGTCCAACCACATTCATGTATGTGAATCTAAAATATCTGCTTCCGTTAAGAGATAACAAGGAAAAACTGCGCAAGTTATTCATTCAAATTTTTATTGGATAGTGTCAGGTCATTTAAGGGTAACAATCAAGTTTACATCGATGTTTGCTTATTATTCCCTCAATTGTTTTACTTTGATGTTATAGCTCATGGTAGCCTACTTGTAGATAGATCTGTGTTATCACTCACTGTGTGGGGGAAAGTAGAAACTGAAAAAATGAAGAAGTGGCTAAAGAAAAGAGGAGGGTTTGAAAGTTACAATGTAGTTGTTATCAAAGCTGAATTTGAAGGTCTCAGAGATTATACGAAAACAATGACTCACTTTGCCAAAGAGTTAAGTTCAATAAAAAAGGATATGGCAACTTTGGTGGCACTGTTGCTCGTATGGATGAATCACTCTCCAATGTTATTTCTGAGTTAGCATTAAAAAATGAGAAAGATACACTGCGCACTTCACACCCTTATCAACATGAAGTTAAGCTGAATGAGGAACATGGTAACATGTTTGATATGGGGTGTGATGGGGGACAATTAGATCCTGGAAATACTAAACCTCCAAAAAGTAGGCAAGACAAATAAGGCGGAACTCTCAACGAGGAAGGTGACAATGTCAAAGGATTTGCAAATCTTGATAAAACTTTGGTTCCCTCCGTTGAAGTCATCCGTGAGAGAAAATATGCAAAACAACGGTAAGGTATGATAAATAATGGTTATAGCTTGTTTGTATGTGTTTTAATAATTTCACTTGTCGGTTTATATGTTTAGATGATGACAATCATTGAGTATTTGATTTGCAGAAATCATTGTATTATAAATAATGTTGTATTTTTATTTGGTTTTCTCCCGATGTAATAACAAAGTTAGATGTCCTTATTTTTTGCAGACTCATTGTATCATCTAATGTTTTTTTTTTGTTTCACTTATATTGATTTGTAAATGCTATTTTGAAATGATTTATGAGCATTATGATAAAATGGGTCACAACGACGTAAAAAGTTTGTTTATTGAGAATTGTGGTTCTACTTCAACAAGGGATTAAGTAGTGACTCGTGCAACAATGAATAAAAAGGCAGGTTCCCACAAGAGAACTCCTTATAAAGACTTCAATGCATTGAAAGTTAAAGTAAATGCAAAAATCCGACAAAGAATTGTGCACGAGCGAATTCTGAAGAGATTGAATGTCGTTCCATTCCGGATAACCAACAATATTTCCGAAAATGATAGAGATCTATTAAGTTTTGCATTTTGTTGCAATACATTGGATCCAAAACCTTGGATGTATAACCTGAACCAAATTTGTGAAAATAATTATTATATCATCCATCTCCACACATACATAGAGACTTTTACTACAATATGTGTCAATAAGAAAAATTGATTACAAGACTTTTTTTTTTTTTTTTTTTGCAGTGAACTACTCGTCAACATAGGTGCTATATCTATAACTCGTCACTATTTTGGAAGCCTTGCCCCTGGGTCGTCTCTCTTTGATGATGTAAGGGCTATTAATTCAATACGTATTTGACTACTTATCAATATATGTTTAGAATGTTGGTATTATGAGGCTAACAATCGTGTCTTATCTTATAATAGGTAATCAATGTAATGGCAGAATATTTATATGATACCACCTTCACAAAATGGTTCCAACCTACGTATTTTTGGTCTGTAAGTAAATGGATAAAATTAAATGAGGATATTTTTTTGTTAAAGGTGATGTGTTATACCTCATAAAATGCAGGAAGACGCCAAGTTGGTACGTACCAATGATTATATAACATAATGTGCTAGGACACAGAAGCTTTGTCGTCTGGCAAGATTTAATGGGCGACTGAAGGACTGCATGTAGGTGGGTTTCGTATGCAAGCTCCAATTATGTGAATTATCGGTAATAATGTATAGACCACTTTTTTGCAGATATATATTCTGATGCACGACGATGTACTTGGTCACTAGTATCTTTTGGTTTGCGACATTTTTCATAAGAAAGCGGAAATTTGAGACAGTTTACCTGATCTGCATCATAATAAGAAACGCGAGAACGATTGCCAACTTACTGTAAGTGAAGAAGCTTTTGTTCAATATACTTATACGTTTTTCTTTTGCTTGATGTTACTTATGTCGACTATGTTGTTGTTCATGCAATAGTTGTTGGATTTAGACTCTATTTTTCATGATGACATCTTGTCGATATTTGAGACGGGGTGGACGTTCTCCTCATTTTATGTTGTGTCCTCATTGGATGTCAATCCCGTCCAACCTAATGGTGTGACATTTTTGTCATAAGACACATGCAATATTATCATTAGTTGTGGTATGACCGGGTATACATTGTGTATGTGCCATTTTTTTTTGGTAAAAATGTTTTATACGTAATTAAACGCTAAATATTTCTTTTTGTTTATTGCAATACGACTCTAATGTACATCGGATGCGACTTGCTATTGAGTTAATGAGACATGAAAAAAATTAATTATGTGATGTGATGTGATAAGTGAAGCATTGAAAGTGATGGAAAATGCATCTGTTTTTACTGTGGTGGGGAAGAAGATTGGTAATGTTGAAGTTAAAAAAAAGGATGTGGCCGATGTCACCATTAGAAAAAAGAGGGTTTATATTCGGAAACAAAAAAACAAATCGGAAGTTACTATACTAGAAACACCTTCAGGCTGCAGTCAGCCTAGACCTTGGCGCCATTAACAAGGTTGGGTAATGGGATTATCATGATTGACTAGTATATATTTTTGTAAGCATAGACCTAATGGTGTGATGCTATTGGTTTTGGTGCATATCCTGTATTTTTAAAATGAGTGTCGCCATAGTAGAATAAGAAAACTTTCTTTTTTTGTAAAGTAGTTTTCAAAGGATTGATCCAATGGTTAGGTAGGACACTTTTTGTTTGTACATCTAGGTCGAATGTCCTATTTGGTGTCTTTTTTTTTTCTTCGTATCCATATCATAGATTAAGACTAGCACATGGTGTGAAAATGTAACAGAGGTTACCATATGTACAAACAATTGATGAAATTAATATGTTAACTTTATTTTGTGTTGTTTGATTCATTTTTATAAATTTATGGAACCCCTTTGTCCATAAGAATATAACAGCAGTCTTATATGTTGTAAACACCGTGTTTACAAGAATAAGGACCAATTTTATTTCACCAAGGTCCACGCTTACCTTATTCTTATACAAGGGTTATTTGTTGTTGTAAATTATAGTATTACGATATTAAGAATGGCTTTTACAATGTAATGGAACGAGTATGTCCATCTTAGTATATACGAATCCTTAATGTTGTATCAAGCAGCTCAGGCTTCTCAATCCTAACCATCTCAAGCAACTCAGGCTTCTCAAACGTGTGATTCATCTCAATCTGCAAAACTATCTCTAGTACAACAACGTAGGAGGAGGATGAAAGAACAACATAGGAACCATTTTGTTAAATATCCTTTTTTTCATCCTTAATGTGATGATGTTGAACTTTTGCAACAACTTTTTTGAATTAGGATAAACTCTTTTTGAATTATGGTTTCATAGAAGAATGGTTTGAATGTTGTGGAATTATAGATTTTGCAATTGGTTGTTAGTTTTGTAAGACTTTAACGTCTTCATAGTTGCAATTGGGTTGTTTGTTTGGTAACACTTTGATATCTGTGATGGTGGGTTTTATTAGGCTTTGATGTCTGTCAAGGTTTTTGAGTCAGGTACTTAGATGCAATTGACTATTTGATATGTAATGTGATGGTTGGAACCTGTTTTCGGTGTGATGCTTATATTGATCAGGTATTGAGATGTAACCCTTTGATATGGCATGAACAAGAATAACTTGTTTTTGTAACCTGTTTTTCGTATCCAATGAACAAGATATGGTTATAACCTATTTTTGGTGTGATGCTTATCAGTATGTCACCATTTGATATCCAATTAACAAGATATGATCAAAGATTTGCTACTGATTTCCATTCATATCACAGTACAAAAAAAACTCAAAACAAATTACAATAACCTATTGCTTACTAATAAAACTCAAAACAAATTACATTGTTTTCCCACCAAATTACATTACATTACACCCACTGGTCTTAAGTAGCCCAGGCTTATTGAACTACTGCTACTGGTCTACTAGTCTCAAATTACATTGCTTACTGAACTACTGCTACTTGTTTCAAGTAACCCAGACTTCTCAATCACATTATACCCACCAAATTACAAAACATATTTCTCTTAATTCCTCATAATTCATCTTCATTGCCATTCATGTAAATAAAGGGATTAAATGAACAAAATCAAACAAAAAGAAGGAGAAAAATCGAAATTTCCTTGGTAAAGTTTGTGTATTGTAACATGTGTATATTGTTTCTAAAGACACTGTATTTTGGCTTATTTTGTGAATCATGACCAAGTTTGTGTACATCAGCATATGTATGTTGGTTTGTGTATTGCACCGTGTGTATGTTTCCATTCCATTCCATTTCATTTCATTTGAGTCAAAGAATGTAAGAACCAAAACAAGAGCTGAATGTTTTCATTTCATGACTAGAAATTTACAACCTTTGAGATATGTCTTTCCCCAAATTTTGATCACAATGTTACAACCAAAACGTTTGAGCAGAATGTTACAACCAAAACATGCCTTTACCCAAATTGAAGCACCATCTAAGCACCTCATTTTTTTAAACTAAATTGAAAACCACATTGACAGCAATCAAGATACAAATGATCAACAACATCTCTTTTATTCCTTTCAGCATATTCAAAACATCTCCAACTTGTAACTGCATAAATTGAAACACCACATCCTTGCTACCATTGTTTTCCATCCATTGCAAGTCTCTAAAGATGATATCTTCCCTCCCTTTTGTGTTGTCAACATCATCACACCATACAAAACCTTTGCATCCAACACCTCCCTACATAATACAACCACTTTGCATAACCACAATATCCATATCATAAAATAAAACTGATTCAAAACCATGCCTTGCATATTTCCTTGTACACTTCCAGAAATATTTGTGGTAATGTTGTTCTGTAGTTGATAGAAGTAATTTCATTTTAGCTCCATATAAAGGGCACCTCAATTCATGAGAAGATGAAGTAGACATCTACAAACTACAAGAAATGCAGCTAATTGTACGAACTGAAATGAAAAAAAAAAAAACAAGAAATAGGAAAATTTAGAAACTGAAATTGACATAAAACAAAATCAAACAAGAAATTACCTTGAAAATGGATGAATTCCTACATGAAATTGATGATTCCCATTCAAATCGTGACTTTGCCTATCAAATCTTCATCGATTGAATCTGAATCGAACCCTATACCTCGAAATCGACCAGCCTTTTCCCCAAATTTTAGAATCCTAACTTTTTTTTGGGGAAAAGTCGTGCACGAGGATGGTTTTATGATTAAGGGGCTGAGGCGAAAGGGTAATAATACCCATGCATGCACGCACCACATGCGTCTTAACTAATGGAATTCTCAATTGTACTTGATTTGTTAATGATGCAAAATGTGATGACCAAAATCAGAAAATTAAAAGTGAGGTGACCAAAATTAAAATCGGGTCAAACCCGAGTGACCAAAATTGTTTTTAACCCTAAAAATTAAGATTGCAAATTGTTTCAAGAAAAGAGTGTCAGACTCTCGTGTTATGAAACTCATTAATGTAGGTTTTTATACAACAACCTTGCCTTTGAAGGTTGAAGTCGTTTTTGTTTTTGTTTTTTTTTGTCTAATTGAAGTTTGAAGTCATTTCAGTTAATATAGCCTTTTAAAATTTGTTGCCGCCAGCCCCTCTAAAACAAGTAATGTGCCATCTTCACTTGTGTTAATTATATTGGAGCCATTGCCTTATGAGATGATCTTGTATAAACAAATATAGGAAAAGCACATGGGGTGGCACCATAGTGAAAAAGTGGGTCAAACTCTCCCCTCCCCCCAAAGTGCACTCAGGTTCAATTCACCTAGAAGACAATCTTGAGGCAACTCAATATATTACTCCCCCTTCCCTCCCAAGCGAATTGAAAAAAAAAAAACCTATATAGGAGACAACATGGTAGGCATAGCATGAGGCTTAGGGTACATTATGGTCTTGCAAGGACTTATCAATAATTCCACAGTATAATAATTGAGACATCACTTTCATAATTTAATAGTTATCCTATAATATCCTTAAATATAATTTTAATTAATGGTAATTGATTAATTATAATATCGGGTGAGGCCGAGCTGCCTATGGGCTTACAAATCAAGGATCAGGCCATGCCCTTTACACAACGGGCTAAGCTAAGCTTGTCCACAATATCATATTGGACCAACTCATAGCCCAAAAAATATGACTGAATTCGGACTCGCCCATCGGGCTTAGACCATTTTTCTAGGCCTAATATTTCGGTAATAAATAGTTTATAATCGACAAAATTTGATTTTCTTTATGTTAATTCAATGCGGTTAATGATTTGAGTATTCGTTATTTATGTTCTAATCTAAGATAGTAGATAGATGAATACAGTGTTGAAATTAAAAAAATAATGTGATTAAATTATTAAAAAACAAGATGTTTAGTGTTTATGCATATGTGGGTTAGGCAATGTGCTCACACTCTGGCACACAAGTTCAAGTCCCTGTCTCCAGAGAATAGAGTAGTTTAGAATATTGTTTATTTAAGAAAAAGTTTATTTTATATATATATATAAGTAATAGTTATGAGTTTACATTGATTGACTTATTAAATTGGAGTTTAAAAATTATTATTATTATATTGCATGTATTATATTATACATCTTATGTTTAAACTAACAAAATTAAACATTTTAAATGTGACGGGTTGACACAAAATGAGTTGAGCAAGCTAACAAATAGTTTGCCTCACACCTATCCATTTATTAATCTTAGCTTGGTGGACTGACTCGAATTTGACCCGATTTTTTTATTGTGCGGGTTGATCTGAGTAAAATTTGTGCATGTTATGAATTATTTATCGGGTCATGTTAGAGCATTTCTAGCGGGATGCCCTAGCCCGGGCAAGAGGCCCCCTAGGCCTTCATTTGTGTTTCCAGTGCCCCATTCTTGCCAGGGCAAAGAGATGGGCTCCACCAACCCGGGCAAGGCCCAAGGCAAAATCAGCCCACCCTCTTACCTGAGGGCTATGACGTCACCGATGACGGCGTTAGCGCAAGAAATCATATTTTTTTACCATTAGCGTGTGACGTACACGCAGGGATCGCGCACATCACGCACACCAACGGTAAATTTTTTTTTTTGAATTTTTGTGGCTGACGTCAGCGCCTACTTTCCCCAAACGGATAAAATCCACGTGGCGCTACTTGGGGTGTCCAATCCATTCTTCCACTTCTATCCAATGGCATAAAAATTGAAAAAAGTACCAAAAATTTTGAATTTTTTATATATATAAATACCCACCAATATTATTTACTTTTCACACCAATTCTTCATACGAATTCTTCTCATTCCAATATTATTCATTTTCTACACCAAATTATCTACTACTAAATTTCATTTGTGTAAAAATACAAATGACCTATTCAATCGAAGCGGGAGGCTTATGGAAAACCATGGAAGATGTTTTGTTGTGTGAGTGTTGTGTCCAAGTTGGTCATTGCCCGATCATAGACAATGAGATGAAGTTCTCTCATATGAGGAGAAAAATTCATGGAGAACTTTGTGAAAGATCGGGTTTTCCTCGTACGAAAATGGCCTTGGCTAGTAGGTGAAATTTTTTGAATAAAGAGTTTGGGAAATAGAGAGATGCATTGGCAATGGCGAGTAACAACGTTCGAAGCGGCGAAAATCTTGGCAACGAGGTAAATTTTTTGTAATTGTTGTTTTATTAAATTTAATGTCATATTTTTTTTGATATTTTCTTGGATTTCCAATTTGTTTTTTTTATTATAGATTATTCAAGCACAAATGTGGTTCGATGTCATTGGCCAAGGCAAAAAATCTTTCAATAATCAACAATGTTGAGAGGTTGTGAAGAATTGTTCGAGATTCAAAATTATTCCCACGTCCCTGACCGTTTGTATTGAATGAGACGCTGCTCCACGATTCATTGGCATAGGATTCACCGTTGGTTTACGAAACTATCAGATTGCATCCTTAATGTTTTTTTTTTGTCATTCATGGTCCTTAAACTTAGTATGTGTGTTCACAAATGGTTTCTGCTATTAGGTTTCGTCAAAAATTTCGTTAGTTTGCTGATGTGGCATATATATATATATATCACAAAACATCTCTTAGGTTCATGCACCTCTCACAAATGGTCCTGCGATTTATTTAATTATTTATTTAAAATTCATAAAATTTTGGTTTTCTTTTTTAAATTATTTAAAAATATATATTGAGTTTAAATACACATGACACAATATTATTGGAGATGGGCTCCACATATATGCCACATCAACAAAGTAATGGAGTTTTAAAAAAATAATTAAAAATTCATAAAATTTAAAAATAAAAAAACCATTTATAGAAGGATTTAAACCTTGAGGACCATTTATGATCCCTAAACCCTTGGTTTTTTCATTTTTAAATTATTTTTTAAAAACTCCATTACTTTGTTGATGTGGCATATATGTGGAGCACACATCTCCAATAATATAGTGTCACATGTATTTAAAATATAATATATATTTTTAAATGAAAAAAAGAAAAATTCGCAGGAACCATTTGTGATAGATGTGTGAACCTCAGAAATGTTTTGTGATATATATTATGCGTCATGTTAGCAAACTAACATAGTTTTTTATGGAACCTAACGGCATGAACTATTTGTGAGTACACATACTAACTTTGAGGACTACGAATGATATAAAAAAACATTAAGGATGCAATTTTATAGTTTCGTAAACCTTAGTAACGTTTTGTGATATTAATTATGGGATGGCATTCCAAGTTCCAACCCTGATTATCAACCTCTATCACCAGCCCAAGGGCTTCTTAGAGCATTTCCATCAGTTAGCCCCTTGCCATGGCAAGGAGAGCCCTAGGGCAGCTACTATTCACGTGAATAATGGTTGCCCTAGTCTCCCCTAGCAAAGTGTGTTTCCAGCAGTTTAGGCTTGCCATGGTAAATACTATTCATTTTTTTGTTTTTTTCACAACTTTGTTTACTTAAACAATTAATTTGAATAATATTTTCTTATAAGATTTTTGGATTCCTACGTGTCACTACTATTCATTTTGGATAATATTTTCGGATAATATTTTATTTTATTAGTTGTATTGGTTGGTATTTATATAAAAAAAAAAGTATGAGGATTTGGTGTTAAAAGTGAAGAGTATTGGTTGGTATTTATAGACATTGGAGGACACAGAATTTTTTTAGTGAAGGCGCAATATTGGCTAAGTATGAAAAATTGTTTTTCGGAATAATCATTTTCTCAAGATAATTTTTGGCGGCTTTTATTCCTTACACATCAAATAAGAAAACGTGATTTTATGGGATTTTAATATGAAGTATATATTGACTTAATGAGCCATCATTTTTAGCCTAAATCGTAATTTGCACTAAAACCGATTTTTCATATTTTGATTTAGTGGGAATTTGATTTTCTAGTATTTTTATTTGAATCAAAATGGGGGTACTTCTTTATTTACATTGTAAACTTAAGTAAATGGAGTAATATAAAAATAAATGAAAATAAAAGGACAAAGTTAGCGCGCTGACATTAGCCAAAACGAGAGCGGAGCTCGGGCCAGCCTAGTTTGCTGGGCCCCACTCCTTGCCCTGGCAGAATTTTGTTGCTGGAAACACCATTTTGGATTTGCCCCCCTTAGCCCTCCCCTTGGGCCCTTGCTGGAATGCTCAGTAAAGTTCTTTGGAAAAGGTTGGAGGTGTTATTTTTGAAAAGGGAAGGAGCTCCGCGCTGTCTGTTTCGAAAACGAAAAGCGCTTTTAGTTGCAGGCAGGAGAGGTTTAGGGTTAGGGTTTTGGTGAAAACAGAAAGAAAGAAGTAGTTCGCAATGCAGCCCTACGGTATACAGTCGATGCTGAAGGAGGGGCACAAGCACCTCTCCGGCTTGGACGAAGCGGTAGTGAAGAACATCGATGCCTGCAAGCAACTCTCTACCATCACACGAACTTCTCTGGGTCCCAATGGTATGTCTTTCTTACTCTAAAACTCACAGTCTTAGTTGATCAGATTTGAAATCAGTTAATTTTTTAAAATTTGTTTCTCTTCATTACTGCTCAGGTATGAATAAGATGGTAATCAATCATTTGGACAAGCTCTTTGTGACAAATGATGCTGCCACCATTGTCAATGAGCTTGAGGTTCAGCATCCTGCTGCCAAGCTGTTGGTTTTGGCAGGCAGGGCTCAACAAGAAGAAATTGGTGACGGTGCTAATCTGACCATTTCTT